TGTCCCACGAGAAACCCCTACAGTTGACCCCCCCACTTCTCGCCCACTTCAAACATATCAGCGTCGTAAACCAACGTCTGTTATACTTGTCCTTGAGGTTGTACATGTCCTTGAGGTCGTACATGTCCCTGAGGTCATTGCAGACTATCCTCCGACACTATCGCCATCACCGGATTCGATCCTGCAACCTAAGTCTGATCTTCTGATTGCCTTTCGCAAAGGTATACGTCAAACACGAAATCCTTCTCCACATTATATTGATTTATGTTATCATCGTATTTCTCCTTTGCAGGATACTTGTTTGTCCTCTTTGTCTTCTGTTTCTATTCCTAAATCTCCAGGTGAAGCATTATCTCATTCTGAGTGGAGACAAGCAATGATTGATGAAATGTGTGCTCTTCAAAGCAGTGGTACCTGGGAACTGGTTCCTCTACCCACTGAAAAATCTTTAGTAGGTTGTAATTGGCTTTATACAGTGAAGGTTGGTCCAGATGGTAAGATTGATCATTTTGAAGCTCGCTTGGTAGTCAAGGGATACACTCAGATTTTTTGGTTGGATTTTAGTGATACCTTCTCGTTTGTAGCCAAGATGGCATCTGTTAGACTTCTTCTAGCCATTGCAGCCATTCGACATTGACCTCTTCATAAACTTGACATCAAAAATGCATTTTTACATGGTGATCTTGAAGAAGTATATATGGAGCAACCACCTAGGTTTGTTGCTCAGGGAGAAGTCATCGAATATGGTTTGTAGGCTACACAAGTCTCTTTATGGTCTTAAGTAATCTCCGAGAGTTTGGTTTGGCAGATTCAGCACTGTAGTACAACAATTTGACATGGTCTGTAGTGAGGCTGGCCATTCTGTCTTTTATCGTCACTCAGTCTAAGAGTGTATTTATCTTATTGTGTATGTAGATGATATTGTCATAACGGGTAGTGATGAGTCGGGAATACTCCAGTTGAAACAACATCTTTCGAATCAATTTCAGACAAAGGATCTTGGTAAACTCCGGTATTTTTTGGGTATTGAGGTAGCCCAATCTAAAGATGGTTTGGTGATTTCTCAGCGGAAATATGTTATGGATATTTTGGAAGGAACGGGTTTGTTGAACGCTAAACCAGTTGATACTCCTATGGATTCAAGTGTCAAACTACTACCCAATCAGGGGGAGCCTCTATCAGACTCGGAAAGGTATAGGAGATTGGTTGGAAAGTTCAATTATCTGACAGTCACTCGTCCAGACATTTCTTTTGCAGTCAGTATGGTAAGCCAATTCTTAAATTTCCTTTGTCAGAAACACATGGATGCTGTTATCCGGATTCTAAAATACATCAAATGTGCTCCAGGAAAAGGTTTAGTGTATGAAGATAAAGGACATACTCAGATAGTTGGATACTCTGATGCTGATTGGGCAGGATCACCAATTGATAGACGATCCACCTCTGGGTATTGTTGGAGGAAACCATATATCCTGAAAAAGTAAGAAACAAAATATAATTGCAAGATCAAGTGTCGAGGCAGAGTATAGGGTCATGGCAATGGCAACATGTGAACTCATTTGGTTAAAACAGTTGCTCAAAGAATTTAAAATTGAAGAAGCAAGACCAATGACACTTGTATGTGATAATCAAGCTACATTACACATTGCTTCAAATTCAGTCTTCCATGAGAGGACCAAACATATTGAGATAGATTGTCACTTTGTCAGAGAGAAAATTGAATCCGACGACATCGTCACAAGCTTTGTCAACTCTAATGATCAATTGTCAGATGTGTTTACAAAATCTCTGCGAAGCCTCAAAACTAATTATATATGTGGCAAGCTTGGTGTATTTGACTTATATGCTCCAGCTTGAGGGGGAGTGTTAATATTTGTAAATATATAATGTTAAGAATATTTGTATGTAGAATAGTCCCACATCGATTATCTCGTGTAATTAGTTGTAATATATATATATATATATATATATATATATATATATATATATATATATATATATATATATATATATATATATATATATATATATATATATATATATATATATAAAATAAAGTCTCCGTAGTGCTTTCAAAACACACGGTTTAACCTAAATGACTCTTAGTCTCTCCTAATTCAATAAAGACTTTGCAAACAAAAGGCATGGTGAGAGGCTTGCCAAGTATCCCAGAGGGTGAAATTGTGTGCACAAATTGCTTGAAAGGGAAGCAGCATCGAGATGTAATCCCAAGGAGAAGTACATGGAGAGCGTCGGAAAAATGGGAGCTGGTTCATGCTGATATTTGCAGCCCGATTTCTCCGTTTTCGGAGGGAAACAAGAGGTTTTTCATTTGCTTCATTGATAACTACAGTAGGAAGGTATGGGTGTATTTTCTCGTTTGTAAGTCAGATGCACTCACTACCATTAAGCTGTTTAAAGCTCTTGTTGAAAAAGAAACAGGCTTGTCCATTAAATGTTTAAGAACAAATTGTGGATCAGATGAGTTCAAGGAATATTGTAAAATGAATGGAATCAAGAGGCAATTAACTGTTGCATATACACCGCAGCAGAACGGAGTCGCGGAGCAGAAAAATAGAACCGTGATAAATATGGTGAAGAGCTTATTGGTTGAGAAAAATGTTCCAAGAGAATTCTGGACAGAGGCGGTAAACTAGGCACTCTATGTTCTCGATAGATGTCCAACATCATCGGTGAAGGAAACGACGCCAGAGGAAGCTTGGTGTGGGGTGATACCTTCAGTTAGGCACTTGAGAGTCTTTGGTTGTATAGCATATGCTCACGTATCGGATGCCCGGCGAACAAAGCTTGAAGATAAGAGTCGTTGTTGTGTCTTTTTTGGTGTAAGTGAAGAATCAAAGGCATATCGACTATATGATCCTACCTCTAAGAGGATTATTATCAGTCGGGATGTCGTCTTTGAAGAAGATGAGCAGTGGAATTGGGAGAAGAAATCTGAAGAAGATAACACGTCTAATTTGGAATGGGAAAATGAGAAAAGTGAAGAAAGTGAGGAATCAAGTGATAGCAATGAAGAAGAGAATGCAGCTAATGGTAATGAAGAAGAAAATGCAGCTAATAGTAATGAAGAAGAAAGTGCATTTTCTCCAGTGACAGAACCCTGAAATAGAAGAGCTCTAAGGTGGATGAATGACTATGTCCCTGGTGATGGTCTTTCCGATGAAGAGATAGGTACAAACTCACTTAGTCTTGTTTGCTCATGTCGTTCGTTCTGATCATACTTCATTTGACGAAGCAATAAAGGAGGAGAAATGGAGGGCAGCCATGGATGTAGAAATGAGATCAATTGAGAAGAATGGAACGTGGGATCTTAGAGAGCTGACGAAAGGAGCCAAAAAAATAGGAGTCAAATGGGTATACAAAACAAAGTTGAACGAGCTTGGAGAAGTAGAAAAATACAAGGCTCGCTTGGTCGCCAAAGGTTATGCTCAAGAATACGGAGTTGATTATGAAGAAGTATATGCTCTTGTAGCTCGTATGGACACGGTTCGAATGATTTTGGCACTTGCTGCACAAAGAGGTTGGTGTGTGTTTCAGCTGGATGTGAAGTCGGCCTTTCTTCATGGGAAGTTAGCTGAGAATGTGTATGTGGAACAGCCAAAGGGTTATGAAATAAAGAATGAGGAGTATAAGGTATGTAAGCTCAACAAAGCTTTGTACGGACTCAAGCAGGCACCGCGAGCATGGCTCAGCCGAATTGAAGGAGGATAGTGAGCAAACTTGTTTACCAAAGTCAAACAAGGTAAATATTTAATCATTAGCTTTGTATGTTGATGATTTAATTTATACCGGAGATGATGAAAAAATGATGTCTGAATTCAAAGAGTCTATGATGAAGGATTTGATATGTCGGACTTGGGTAAGATGAGGTATTTTCTTGGTATTGAGGTAGTTCAGTTTGATGGCGGTATATTCATCAGTCAAACGAAGTATGTGATAGAAGTATTGAGAAGATTTGGAATGGAGCATAGCAATTATGTTGAAAATCCAATGGTTCCAGGATTAAAAGTCCCCAAAGATGAAAATGGTGTTGAGATGGATGGTTCATTTTTCAAGCAGCTGATTGGAAGCTTGATGTACTTGGTTGCTACGAGGCCGGACATAATGTATGCGGTTAGCTTATTAAACAGGTATATGTCAAGACCTACAGAAGTTTATTATTCGGCGGCAAAGAGAATTCTATGTTACTTGCAAGGTACGACAAAGTTTGGCATTCTTTACAAAGCGGAAGGAAACTCGGATTAATTGGCATTACGGATAATGATTATGCTGGATCGGTGGAGGATATAAGAAGTACTTCGGGTTATGTTTTTATGCTAAGTGGAGCTGCAGTAGCTTGGTGTTCTCGAAAGCAACCGATAGTAACGTTGAGCACGACAGAAGCTGAATTTGTAGCAGCTGCGGGAAGTAGTTGTCAGACAATATGGATGCAAAGGGTGCTGAAGAAGATAGGCTAGAAGAGCAGTGAAAGTACTGTTATCTATTGTGACAATAGCTCAACCATTAAGTTTTCGAGGAACCCAATGATGCATGTGAATGATGGAGTTGTGCAACTTCAGTTTTGTGGTACAGGGCATCAGTTAGCGGACATCCTCACCAAACCGCTGAAATTAGAGTCATTTCGGGAGCTGAGATGGAAGCTTGGAGTTTGTGATTTTCCAGGAGTTAACCAGCTGCAAATGCAGTCTAGTTCAAGGGAGGGAATGATAAGGCTTAGTCAAATTAGTGTCCTAGTTTTTAGCACTTTTATTAGTTGATTTAGTCAAATTTGTTTCCTTAATTTTAGCTAGTACGTGGCCTGTAGATTGTTTTTGTTTCCTTATTTATTTGCTGCAAGTTTACAATGAATAAACAAGTAATCCCCATAACTGTTATTTGCTTCTATCGTGTTCCTATTACATTTAACAAATACAAAAAGAGAGAAACAAACAGTCCCCGAAGCAAAATTGTCGAGCCCCTTAAAATAAAGTCAGAATTACCTGCCATAAACCAGAAAAATTGCAGATAACACAAAACAAATCATCAGTGCAGATAATGCTAGAGGCCAAGATAAAACCAGTAAATTAATTATTGCTCCTGTTCCCTAGATATCAAAGAAATAACAGGTCACACTCAGAAAAATAATGCAATAAAATTTAACCAGAAATTAATATGAAAATATTAAAACCTGCAAAGAGTTGCGTAATATTAATATGAAAATATTAAAACCTGCAAAGAGTTGCGTAATATTAACTGAAGATCATTTCCTATAACATGTGAAAGCTGTTGGCAATCTGCTGCAAGCCTGCTTGTCAAGGTGCCAACTTTTTCTTTATCAAAATAGGATATGTCCTACATAATACATTATACAGGCCTAGGGTAACCGTAAGAAAAGCAGAGAAGCAATACAAGTAAATAAATAACCAAAAAATGCTAAAGAACATTTTTGCTAGCCCAGTATATTTTTGTTTCGTAAAACATATACCTGAAAAAGAATGGTTGTATACAAGTTTTCTCGGAGACGCTTTACCTGAAACATGACAGGGAGAATGGGATGATGTGCTCTGAACTACACAACATTGTTGAGATATTATAATTATAATTAGTATCCGTTAGGATATTATTGTATTGATTTAATCATTCCTTTCTTAGTTAATTCTCCTTACATAATACTTCCTCCATTTTTATTTTTTATATATATTCTCCTTACATAATACTTCCTCCATTTTTTATTTTTTACATATATTCTCCTTACATAATACTTCCTCCATTTTTTGTTTTTTATATATACTCCTTACATAATACTCCCTCCATTTTTTATTATGTCACTTTGGGAGGAAATTTGTACCAAATTATGTCTTTTTATAATACCAATGAATCATTAATACTATTTTTCCTATTATTCCCTTAGGTATTTATAATTCTCTCTTCTTTCACTTATTTTAACTTATTTTTCCCATACCATTAATAAAAGATAAGTTTTTAAAATCCTTCACAATTTGATTTTGTTACGGTTCTAGATCTGTCTACTGATATTTTTCGTCAGTGAAAAATACGTTTTTTTTATTGTCAAGCAATGGGAGAATCGTTTACCAAAGTTCCGCTTATCCCATGTGAAAAACTCACGGGGACAGCCAACTACAACATTTGGGCAGGTGCTGTTAAGATGTGGTTTCACTGTCAAGGATTTGACAAACACCTAACCACAAAAGTGGATATTGTTTCCGCCGACAAACTTCCTAAATGGAAACAAACCGATGGTATTCCATCGCACCTGATCTCCAAGCACAGTATCAAACCTTCACCTCTTGCTATAAGGTCTGGGAAAATGCTAAGAAAGTCTTCTTTAACGATGTTCATTGTCTCTATAGTGTCGTCCTCAAACTCAACTCTCTGGAGTTGGAGAATCTGGATATGCAAGTCTATCTGAGTAAGCTTGATGCCTTGAAAGCAAGCTACGCAACTCTAATGTCCTACGCAAAAGATGCAACACCTCATGTCGAACAAGAGTAAATTTTTCATGATCGTGGCACTTAAAGGACTATCGCCTGAACTCGAGCCCGTTCGTAACCAGATTTTATTAGGTACTATTGTTCTTAACTATGGCGCAGTTAGTGAACAACTGTTGTGTTTGGCTACACCTCATGTCTTTGGCCCAGGCTCCCCTCCATCTTTTGCTGCCCCGACCCCAGGTGATACTGCTGCCCTTGCGTCCCTTGGCAACAATCAAAATTGCCTATTCGTACCTTAAGAAGTGACAATACACGTGAATATTTATCCCAACATTTTCAAACTTTTATGTCATCCAATGGGATTCTGCACCAAACATCTCAACAAAGTGGGATAGCCGAACGCAAAAATCGACATCTCGTAGAAACCACTCTGACCCTACTTCTCCATGGTAATATTCCTCTCCGGTTTTGGGGGGATGCGGTGCTCACAGCATGTTACCTTATAAATCGCATGCCCTCATATGTCCATAATAAAATCCCTCATTCAATCATGTTTCTACAAAATCCCCTTCACCCAATTCCTCCTCGAGTCTTCGGGTCTACATGTTTTGTACACATTCTCTCCCCTGGACTTGATAAACTATCAGCTCGTTCACTAAAGTGTGTCTTTCTTAGTTATCATCGATCCCAAAAGGGTTATCGTTGTTATTCACACTCTCTACAATGATACCTCGTAACAGCCCATGTTACCTTCTTCGAGTTTGTTCCTTATTTCGAGTCCAGCCAGCTGACTCTGAAACTCCTTCAAGAAATTACTCCCCCACCTCCTTCGGAAGTCTCATCGGCCATTATCCCCCATCATTCTAGGGATCCTGGCCCACTAGATAATCCTAAAGTTGACCCCCCCCCCCCCCCCCCCATCTCGTAGAAACCACTCTGACCCTACTTCTCCATGGTAATATTCCTCTCCGGTTTTGGGGGGATGCGGTGCTCACAGCATGTTACCTTATAAATCGCATGCCCTCATATGTCCATAATAAAATCCCTCATTCAATCATGTTTCTACAAAATCCCCTTCACCCAATTCCTCCTCGAGTCTTCGGGTCTACATGTTTTGTACACATTCTCTCCCCTGGACTTGATAAACTATCAGCTCGTTCACTAAAGTGTGTCTTTCTTAGTTATCATCGATCCCAAAAGGGTTATCGTTGTTATTCACACTCTCTACAATGATACCTCGTAACAGCCCATGTTACCTTCTTCGAGTTTGTTCCTTATTTCGAGTCCAGCCAGCTGACTCTGAAACTCCTTCAAGAAATTACTCCCCCACCTCCTTCGGAAGTCTCATCGGCCATTATCCCCCATCATTCTAGGGATCCGATCCTGCAGCCTGAGTCCGATTTTCCAATTGCCCTTCGAAAAGGTATACGTCAAACACAAAATCCTTCTCCACATTATATTGATTTATGTTATCATCGTTTGTCCCGTTTGCAGTATACTTGTTTGTCTTCTTTGTCTGTTGTTTCTATTCCTAACACTCCAGGTGAAGCATTATCTCACCCTGAGTGGAGGCAAGTAATGATTGATGAAATGTGTGCTCTTCAAAGCAGTGCACCTGAGAGCTCCTCTACCCCCTGAGAAATTTTTAGTCGGTTGTCGTTAGCTTTATACAGTGAAGGTTGGTCTAGATGGCTCTTCAAACACTCGGTTTATTCAAATGTCTCTTATTCTCTCATATTTCAACATGGTATCCAAAGTCTATTGAGAGATAACCTTTCATTGTGTACTTTACCTGGTTGATCCACTATCTTCCGATGAAAAAATATTTCGCCAAACCGCGTCCCAACTCCGGTTTTCCATCCATCCACTGTCGTGACTAATTCCGTCATCAATTTTTCAGTTGCCACCACACTTCCGCCTCCGCCGGTGTTTCCAACGACCTCCCGGCAAACCAACACAACTGGCAACATCGCCTCCTCAGATTCGGTCGTTCCCCAATTTTTCACCGCTAGAAGCCAGCACACGCGCCCTCACGCGCCGCTTCTACCTCCGCACATGGGCCTCACGCACTGCCACCTGAACTGCACGTGACAGCACGTCTGGCGGCCGATTCCAAAGATTTTTCCGTCGCCCCACTCACTTTCTTGTGGTTGTTTCAGAGCCGGCCTCAGATTTTATTTTTCACTCACAGAAAGTTGTGCTCTAGTACAAACAGCCTCTTTTTCACCATGTCCGCGTAATATTTCTGTTCATTCAAATACTCTTGGCTAGTTCTGGTGATTCCTCTGGTTCGAAGAGAATTTTCACCAACTGTCATCTAACCACTCTCAACAGAAAAGTTGATTGAGTCCAATTACGATAGTTGGGCCGGTGATATCGAATTATGGGTCCATGATCAAGGCTACAAGGATCACCTTACAACAAAATCTGACAGTGGCGGCAGCTGAAAAGCCAAAATGGGAATATATTGATGCTCAACTATGCAGCATAACCAAGTCCACCCTTCATCTGATATCAAACCGTTCTTCCATTCCCAAATCACTTGTGAATCGGTTTGGACAGAGGCGAAACAACTCTACACGAATGACACTCAACGTGTTTATGGAGTGTCACAAATTAATTTTAAAAGTATTATAACAATATATATTAGAGTTCAACGATTTATCTCAACCTTCTTTTAATACAATTTTTTAATTCCCTTACTTTATGAGATTTTATATTATGAAAAGAAAAAAAAAACCTATTCAAGTTAGAGGACTATCATTCTTCCATTTCTCTTTCCTCCTTCCTTTTACCCAAAGCCCTCCCATGCCTACCGTCCAAACTCGCAAACAGAACCTTAGATGAACTCCAATGACTCGTTAACTATATCTTTCAGCATAAAATTTACAATGATACAAATCAATGGCATAGGTGGGATAAAAAACTCTAGCATACAAAGTTGACACATCCAAAATATTAATTGAAAATAGCTGAGATCAAAAACCACTCACCAAGGTTACATTCAAAATTCCAAAGCAGCCACTTCGCAAACCACTGAAATTCAAATGAGAGAATCAAATAACCACCCACTCAATTCGGATACTAAATATATACTAACAAATAGACCACACCAAAAGGAAATTAATTTTGAGGCAAGCATTCCTTGTTTGAATAATAGTTGAACTGATAACGACAGTAAGGCATTTTAAGTAAGGTTTTATTTTATCACCTAGCATATGGGTTGTGTGTATTAAGAATCCGGAGATCATTAGCCTCTCATACTTTTACACTGAAGTGGTCTGGTTACTTAAGGACAAGCTCCTTTATTTAAGACAAAATCCTTGTTTAGTCTAGAGTGCGTTTTGGTTTTGTACCTTGGATATCCCATGAAATAGCTTTCCAAAAAGTGACTAAAATTTATGGTAGACAGAGAAATTACGCTCTATAAGAATTACCTGCATATCCCTGAAGTGAAACATAGAAGAACCAAAAACATTGCATTCCTAGAGAATGCTGCAGTCTCGCCACTTTGTGCCGAAAATATTGATGCTGCCAGTATACTTGGCATGGTGATTTCTGAAAGCTGCAGCAGCAGATATAAAAAATGGTAAGCAATAAATGTTGATATTAATACAATGGAACAGAACATAAGAGAGATGATGAAGCTACAGTGTTAGACATATATTATACCGCATGAGTCACTGAAATTATCATAGCAGTGCCATTCTTAGAGCCGTTTGAAGTTCCTAGGTTAAAGTTCATGCAAAGCTCTACTTTGCATGAACTTTAGCCTGTTCTCCTTCACACCGGTCTTACATCTTTGTAACCAAAGATTAAAAACAAGATTAGATTTATAATATAACTGTGAAGCAACTTAGAGAATTCAATTTTGATCCATCAAATGAAAATAGACCTGGTGACTTGTCACAGCTTATCACCAAGCCTAATTACTTAAGTGACAAGGCTAAGGCATTTTAAAAAATCCATTAAGCTAAAAAAGGTCATGATTTAGGCCATTAAAAATCTTTTAGCTTTAATATGTAAGCCTTGTGTAAAAGTAAATAAGAAAGTATTATCGTTATTGCTGTTGGTTTTGAATTACATTGTTTTAGTATATCTATAAATTATACAGTTGCTTATCTGTATAAAAACATTGGCTCGTTGGCAACCATTAAGGCTTAGGCCTGTTTAGAGGTAAACCTGTAGCCTATTTAAAGAAGTAAAAGGGTACACCAAGATTTAAATAGGTCAAATTCAAGCCTTGGTGTTTTAAAAATAAAACAAAATCGTCTGAAGTAAGACTTCATCTTACTTGATCCATTTCGAATAAATTCCAACCCATCATCTATCTATCTCAATCATGTGTTATTAAATACTACTAGCATGTCAGCAAAAACAGTACAGGGCCTCAAACGTGAGTTTGGAGGAATTCATTGGAGCTCCCACATTGACTGATGGTATAGGCATTAGTACTTACAACTTAGGTGTGGTGGACAATCCTCACCCTCTCTTACTGTTTGAATTTGTGATTATGTGTCTAAATCAGACTACACTTGTCTCTATTTATAATAGAAACACAATAAATACAAAAAATATTGATTGATGTGATTTACTAATTATAATTTTAATAATGAGTATTAGGATTTTACTCTGTCAAAACCAGCTGTACTTGTGTTAATTAGCTGTATATTTTATATTTAAATAGGATTAAAATCCCATAAATAGGATTTGATTAGCTGTGTATGTATTTATAGAAATTATCGTCCCTTAATTATAGAATTGACTGAGGGCAATCATGAGTGTTTATTAGGAATTTCCTTTTCTAAGTATATTGTATTCTATTTAAGAGCACATGCTGCTCTATCAATAAAATGAGAAAAATCATCTCTGTCATACTCTAACACTCCATTTCAAGCTAAAGCTTATAAACGTTAAGCTAGATAAAAGTATATGCTTTACAAGAGAAAATCAAACCAAAACCACAATGAACTTTCACGAGCTGCATCCAAACAAAGTTGCAACGATATTTGGATATTTGGTCTGGTGTTGTCCTTTGCTTGAAACAACCTATTTAATTGTGTGATCGGCGTCAGTGACTCAACATTGATGATAGCTGTTCAACGGGACTACCAAAAAGAAAAACTAACTTAACTTAGGTGGGACATGTCATCTATGATTGGTGCCAACGAATCAACCTTCGCTTTCGTGAGGCGAAGGGACTACTAGAGACTAAAGATAGTGTGGCGTGCTCAATGACTAGAGAGCTTACCATTAGATATCAAACTGAGACAAGGCAGAAAACACCCTGTGATAAGAGTGACTTAGAAAAACTGTCGAAGAACAAACTTGAATAAAAAGATGTCCAAAATCGGACCAAAAAGAAAGGAACACTAACAAGACTGTTAAAATGTCCCACATTGAAAAGGATATGGTCTCAATATATATTTATAAGTGGGGGAAATCCTTACCTAATCCTTACCTTACAAGCAGGATTTGTAGGGATGAGTTAGGCTCAATCCACATTCTAAAATGATATCAGAGCCTACCCAAGATCCGTTGGGCAGGTTTCCGTTATCGGGACCACCCGTCATTTATATTTACACACCAAGCCCACTAGTGCCGAGTGTGAGGGGAAATCCTCACCTAATAAAAAACTGATAATAGATCCAGAACCACGACAGAAAGCGTTGCAGGAGACCAAAAAAACCTTGTCATAAGACAACATAACATGCACATTTGCGAGTGTTGTCAGTGGGGCATGTAAGTGAAAATGAGGAGGCTGTTGAAGTATTGCAAGCGCGCATGTCTAAATCAGACTACACTCATCTCTAATTACATTAGAAATACAAAATAAATACAATAAATTTTGATTGTTACGATTTACTAATTATAATCCTAAAAATAAATATCAGAATTAGATTCCTTGATTCTAGTAGTTACATATATTGATTTCCTTTGAAACACAAGCAGAGAAATACAGCATTTGATAGACAAAGTTAGTGTATAGAAAAACAATTGTTTTCCAAATTGCAATAAGCAGACTTGATAAGAATAAATCCAATTAAATATGTAATTCAAAGATTGAAAACAACATTGAATCTTAAACTTTTGACTACAATGAAAATAACATTGATTGTTTGAATATTGAAAAACTCACGGCAGCAATGACAAGGGACCCAAATGCCACGACTGCAACCCACCGCTCATGGGCAACTAGCTCCAACATTCGTCGCAGAGCGAGCTTAGCCTCTGTCGGTTCTGCGTGGTCTTCCCGGTGCTTCGGTAATGACCACCAATCGCCGACCCCGTGGAAACTAGAAGCATCATCTGAACCGCAACGGGTTTTAAGGCTCCTAACGTTGTTGATTTTGGATATGGGGAAGGAGAAGAGAAAACGGGATTGGGTTTTGTTGTGGAATTTGTGAATGTTGGAGTGTGGGGAAGGAAGTAAATATGAAATGCAGGAGGAGGATGACATGGTTATTGCACATGCTAACTTATGTCCTCCATGTGGAACTCATATTCTTCTTTAGGGAAGAGCACTATGTATAGGTTGTACTTTTTTCAAAAAAAAAATTCTCTTTAGAATTTGAAGCTACAAAATTAAATTAATTTTAAGTTGATGACTATCATGTGGTGATAGTTATAGTTAATCAGATCAGAGAGGTAATTCTTAAAATATTAGCACTTTAATATTCATTACAACTGTCTCTGGTGTTTCGGTTTGGAGTGCTGGGAGTTGTAATATATTAAGAGAATTTATCTTTCTATTTAACTATAAGAAAAAAATTCTATGCATTTTTTAAAATGTCTCTGGAAATCGAAAATTACGTGAAATACATTTTCAATTATGATATAAATGATAATAAAACAATGGAAAGGCATATGCCGAATTCAATATTCATTAGGATTAATATCCCAAAGTCATATGTGATTGTTAAAACATTTTTTGAAGTTTTCAAATGCTGGTCATTTTACTTAAATGTGTTAATATTTTATTAACTGATTCTCTGTCGTTGTGCCGATTTTCTATACCAGATTAATTTTTCTATCTAACTATTGTCATAACATACAATGACACTTTATCCATATCATAATCGGATGTGTATTTCAAGAAGTGTATTTTCGAAATAAATTTTACCGTAAAAATAGAGTGACTCTCAAAAACGAATGAATTATGTGCGTGTGGGTGCGTACCAGAAATATATTTTCAATTTTAGGGGTATTTATGAAATTTCACGTGGTGTGCTAGAAAAGTATATAGTGGAAAAAGAAACCATATATTAATGGTCTTGAAGAAAAAATCTAGCATCCATGCGGTACCCATGGATTAAGATTCACATATTCGTTAGTGATTGTCGTATCTTAACTGAATTAAGTTTATGTGTGGATCTATGTGCTTGCAAGTACAACTATCTATATGTGTTCAGTGATTTTGATGATGACAACATTTTATGTCAAACTTCGTGATGTGTAGTATTCATTTGTAAAGAAGTAATGATCAAGATGTTTTATCAAGATTGAGATGTTCTTGTGAGATCAAGATATAAATCAAAGGCAACACCTAAGGTTAAGGGACATTCAGTGAAGTCTCTAACGATCTCCTATAAAGCAACCTCTAATCATAGTGTCTATCAAAGAAGTTATATCAAGCATCAGCAATAGAAGAGTCAAGTTCCAAATCTCCGATGAACCGAGTAGAGAAACTTGAAGCTTCATAGTTGTGAAAAAAAGAAAGTGTGAAAGCTCGTATGGTCTTGTGTATGAGTGAACAATGTATTATAAAGGTATAAGAGTAACTCTTAAGATATTAACTCAACTCATATACACACTTAAAAATAGTTTTAAACTTCACTCTTTTGCTAATACAACTTAAAATCTCTTAAAATATATCAAGGCTTTTGTAGGATTTGTCCGTTCAGGAGATAAAAATGGATGATCTAACTCCATGAAGGAACCAGAAATAAAGGATGCTCGATAATAGTGATTTTGAATAGTGCCTCAGATCTCCTTTATGGCAACGCATGGCGGACCTGCATGGTTAGCACTTCGACACTCAAGTCAGTTCAAGATTCAAGAAGAGTATATTGAAAGTGGAGACCAGTGATTGTGAACCGAACCTTCTCGTAATTGTATTTATACTGAGGGTTCCATGGAGAAGATGAGATGAATAAGCCTTGTAACACCCTAAACCCCTCACATAAAATATCACATAATTTAGGTATAAAATACAAGCACATAAGGTGTCACGCACATCAAAATAAAATCATGATTCGTAACACAGGTTTCAACATAATAGTTTCAAGACAATCATTTGTAATTGAGATGTTTAAACGACATACAACTAATATGAATCATACATGGGATATTTATACGACATCCAACTCATCTTATTAGTATCACATATTCATATAATAAAACATTCATAACCTGCCATCGCATGATCACTTCCATTTTAAAGCATAATCGCATTGGAATTCTCATCAACAATTATGGAAGACAAAGTAAGTAATGACATTTAGTTTCAACCTTCAACTTTAATAACAAAATAAGAGAGTTGTAATCAATCAACTTATGAAATGGATGAGGAGGATGACATAGTTATTGCACATGCCAACTTATGTCCTCCATGTGGAACTGATATTCTTCTTTAGAAGAGACCACTATGTATAGTTTGTACTTTTTGCACACAAAAAATTCTCTTTAGAATTTGAAGCTACAAAATAAAATTAATTTTAAGTTGATGACTATCATGTGGTGATAGTTATAACTAATCATATCAGAAAGGTAATTCCTAAAATGTTAGCACTTTAATATTCATTTATGTGGAACTTTGGAAGTAGAAGAATTGAATATGGGTATGATTATGAGTCACCGATGATTACAATTGTCTATAGTGTTTCGGTTTGGAGTGTTGGGAGTTGTAATATATTAAGAGAATTTATCTTTCTATTTTACTATAAGAAAAAAATTCTATGCATTTTTTAAAATGTCTCTGGAAATCGAAAATTACGTGAAATACATTTTCAATTATGATATAAATGATAATAAAACAATGGAAAGGCATATGCAGAATTCAATATTCATTAAGATTAATATCCCAAAGTCATATGTGATTGTTAAAACATTTTTTGAGGTTTTTAAATGCTGGTCATTTTACTTAAATGTGTTAATATTTTATTAACTTATTCTCTGTTGTTGTGCCTATATTCTATACCAGATTAATTTTTCTATCTAACTATTATCATAACATACAATGACACTTTATCCATATCATAACCGAATGTGTATTTCAGGAAGTGCATTTCCGAAATAAATTTTATCGTAAAAATAGGGCGACTCTCAAAAACGAATGAATTATGTGTGTGTGGGTGCGTACCGGAAATATATTTTCGATTTTATGGGTATTTATGAAATTTCATGTGGTGTGATAGAAAAGCATATAGTGGAAAAAGAAATCATCTATATTAATGGTCTTGATGAAAAAATGTAGCATCCATGCGGTTCCCATGGATTAAGATTCACATATTCGTTAGTGATTGTCGTATCTTGACTGAATTAAGTTTATGTGTGGATCTATGTGCTTGCAAGTACAAATATCTACATATGTTTAGTGATTTCGATGATGACAACATTTTATGTAAAACTTCGTGATGTGTAGTATTCATTTGTAAAGAAGTGATGATCAAGATGTTTTATCAAGATTAAGATGTTCTTGTGAGATCAAGATATAAAGTCAAATGCAACACCTAAGGTTAAGGGACATTCAGTGAAGTCTCTAACGATCTCCTATAAAGCAACCTCTAATCATAGTGTCTATCAAAGAAGTTATATCAAGCACCAGCAATAGAATAGTCAAGTTCCAAATCTATGATGAACCAAGCAGAGAAACTTGAAGCTTCATAGTTGTAAAAAAATGAAAGTGTGAAAGCTCGTATGGTCTTGTGTATGAGTGAAAAATGTATTATAAAGGTATAAGAGTAACTCTTAAGATACTAACTCAACTCATATACACACTAAAAAATAGTTTTAAACTTCACTCTTTTGCTAATACAACTTAAAATCTCTTAAAATATATCAAGGCTTTTGTAGGATTTGTCTGTTCGGGAACTAAAAATGGATAATATAACTCCATGAAGGAACCAGAAATAAAGGATGCTCGATAATAGCGATCTTGAATAGTGCCTCAGATCTCCTTTACGGCAATGCATGGCATACCTGCATGGTTAGCACTTCGACACTCAAGTCAATTCAAGATTCAAGAAGAGTATATTGAAAGTGGAGACCAGTGATTGTGAACCGAACCTTCTCGTAATTGTATTTATACCGAGGGTTCCATGGAGAAAATGAGATGAATAAGCCTTGTAACACCCTAAACCCCTCACATAAAATATCACATAATTTAGGTATAAAATACAAGCACATAAGGTGTCACGCACATCAAAATAAAATCATGCTTCGTAACACGGGTTTCAACATAATAGTTTCAAGACAATCATTTGTAATTGAGATGTTTACACGACATACAACCAATATGAATCATACATGGGATGTTTATACGACATCCAACTCATCTTATTAGTATCACATATTCATATAATAAAACATTCATAACCTGCCATCGCATGATCACTTCCATTTTAAAGCATCATCGCAGCGGAATTCTCATCAACAATTATGGAAGACAAAGTAAGTAATGACATTTAGTTTCAACCTTCAACTTTAATAACAAAATAAGAGAGTTGTAATCATTCAACTTATGAAATGGAGGAGGAGGATGACATGGTTATTGCACATGCCAACTTATGTCCTCCATGTGGAACTAATATTCTTCTTTAGGGGAGACCACTATGTATAGGCTGTACTTTTTGCACACAAAAAATTCTCTTTAGAATTTGAAGCTACAAAATAAAATTAATTTTAAGTTGATGACTATCATGTGGTGATAGTTATAGCTAATCAGATCAGAGAGGTAATTCCTAAAATGTTAGAACTTTAATATTCATTTATGTGGAACTTTGGAAGTAGAAGAATTGAATATGGGTGTGATTATGAGTCACTGATGATTACAATTGTCTCTAGTGTTACGGTTTGGAGTGTTGGGAGTTGTAATATATTAAGAGAATTTATCTTTCTATTTTACTATAAGAAAAAAATTCTATGCATTTTTTAAAATGTCTCTGGAAATCGAAAATTACGTGAAATACATTTTCGATTATGATATAAATGATAATAAAACAATGGAAAGACATATGCAGAATTCAATATTAATTAGGATTAATATCCCAAAGTCATATGTGATTGTTAAAACATTTTTTGAGGTTTACAAATGCTGGTCATTTTACTTAAATGTGTTAATATTTTATTAACTGATTCCCTGTCGTTGTGCCTATATTCTATACCAGATTAATTTTTCTATCTAACTATTGTCATAACATACAATGACACTTTATCCATATCATAACCGGATGTGTATTT